GGATTGGATTACCTATTAAATGTTGTAATCCTAAAGGGAAAGGTTTTACCCTTCCTACTATTATAAATAAAGGCACAATGGGGTGAGATAACACACACCCACAATTACACATCTCTCTATTCTTCTCTCTATTTCCGCACCCCCTCTCTGTCTAAGGCCTCCATAATTGTTCAGTAAATTATGCCTACAACACATATAATAATTTTTTAACATATATGTTAGTATTGCGCATATATATATTTGAACGTATAGTAGTACTATATACGTATAGGTAAATTATATGTTTATTGAACTTTTAGTAGTATGATATACTTTTGAATGTATTTATGTATGTATGTATATATATATATATATATATATATATATATATATATTGATATATGTTATGGGTAATAGTATGTGCAATAATTATTTGTTCATTATAATTATGGTAATATTTATTGATTTGATTTGAATATTGTGGCACAAGTTGTAAATATTTGTAATAGTAGGTCAATTACTTTTCTATTTGGCAGTCTTTTTCAAAGAGTAATGTTATTCCCACCTCATTGTCTTATCTTTTCACCCATCTATTATTAAATTTTTTTAATTACAAATTTGTTCATTTGTAAAATGACTGATAATGACATAATTATCCTCTTTTGCATTAAAAAAAAGGGTTGCACGCTCAGTTTATCTTAAACCCTAACTCATCTTTCCATCTCTTTTCATCTAGAGGAAGAAAAAAAAAAGGATTTAGATGACTTTTTTGTTGAAGAAGTAGAAGATGACGCTTCTATGGAAGAGTTAGAAGATTATGTTTCTATTGAAGAGGTAAAAATAATTTTGTATGTGGGTCTTTTGCATTTGCCGTCGAAGTTTTCCTTTTGAATTTGGATACCTCTGTGTTTTCCAATTGAATTTGCATACTTGTGACTTCAAGATCAGCAAAAACGATTTGGGCAACATATCCTTAATTTTATTGCTTATTTGAATTTGGCCAACATATGTGTTTGGGCCCAAAATATTAGTTTGGGCCGAGTATAGAATCATTCTCGGCCCGGAAGGCCTTACGACAAGGGTACCATGGATCGTTTAGTGCGTGGGCCTCCAAACCTAGGTCGGTTAGGTCATGCTGCAAGACAAGTCGAGTCCTGGCGCAATAAGGAGTCTTGGCAGGATTAATAACTTGGAAGTGAATCCAGCTTGATAAAGGACTAGGTTCACAATTATAGTGAAAATAGGACTGGTCGAGTTGGTGTTTGATCAGGAGAAGAAGACCTAGTCCGAGTAGGGTTTTAACTAGACCTTAAAGGTATCCAGTGCTATAAATAGAGGAGGCTGTGCATCATTCAAGCGCTCCAATTGAACACACAACTGCCCTCTGCGCAAACTCTCTCAACAACTTTGAGATTTTTATTTTCTCTTTTCGCTGACACATCTTCCGTTGGCATCAACAGCACTGTGAAAGCAACCGGTGATATCTTAAGTCGGCATAGATAGCTCTGTCGCCGTAGAATCAGCCGATCTCGCAGCATCTTCCGTTGGTATCAACAGCACTGCGGCGAGGACGGTTGGTTACCTATCCAAGTCTCGGTCGAGAAGGATTTCCGAATCCTTATTGATTGAGGTCATCTCATTAGCCTCCTCGGCAAAGTGAGGTGTTATAGTTTACTGAGCTCGGCACATTGCACGCCGAGTTATTTTATGATTGGATACTCTCAAGTGGGATTTAGAGTTCGGCATTCAGACGGCCGAACCACGTTCACTATTAAGACTTATATTTGCTTTGAGTATTTGTGCCCTTACACTTTGGTGTCAATTCGGCGTGAGTTTACTTTGACGAATAACATCACTGTGACCGAATCCGACGACGACGATTCGTGAACTTCGTAAGAATAGTAGCCTTGTCTTCAGGTTCGAGAACCCAAGAGGCCGAGACGTGTTCTTTCCTCGGTCGCAATCGCAAGATGCAGAAGTCAGCCGCGCGCCCAACGCAACATCAACAAATTTACTCCTCGGCCGACGAGTTGGCACGCCCCGCATTCACCGAATGACGTAGTTAGCTTATAGATTACTCGGCATGCGCGCCACGTAGGCTTGGTAGTTTTTAGGGTCAACAATATGTTGAGAAACACAAAACTCACCTACGAAAATCTTTAAGCAAATCAAACAATCCTTTCCTTTTTTGCTGTTTCATTGTCGTGTGCATTTTAGAACGCTTGGAATGAATCAGCAGCACCCTGGCACAAGAGCTAGTTGAAATACTATGTCTGTGATGCATTATGAAAATTATATGTTGTTTTATAATTTCATATGTATGCATATGTTAAAGGATATTTTGAAAATAATAGGGGGTGGGGAAATAACATTTTAATTTTTTAACTTTTTAAGGAGGGTGAGATTATAGCGTGGGTGGAGAAATAAGACAATGGGGTGGGTCTAGTAGCTCTCTTTTCAACTTTGGATTTTATTTTGATGTTTAGAATTAGGTGGGTTTTTATCTAGGAAAGAAGAGTTGTAAGGGTCTATATCTAAATAATCCTAAAATTTTTTAATACAAACTAGTGGTCTATCACAAGAGTGTCCAAATATTATACACATGCCATGTTATGTCCAGTGGATGCTATTTTCAGCCAAAGATAAAGTAATATAACCACACATACAAAATTTCTCGAGTCTGTTTTTGCTCACTCCCATTAGCTTCTATATTGATGTTTGTCTAATGACTCTAACCAATCTTAAGAAATTTTATCACATGAGTTTGTCTCACCAAATTAGTAAAGCATGTGGTCTTGCCTTCACATTTACATTGAGTATCCGAATCTAGTGTTGCCCAATGCCAGTGTAACAAGTCTCTCACACAACTCACAATGGTGAGGATAGAGGTAACATTAAAACCGTTTGAGAGAGCTTTTGATTCCTCTAATGATTCTGGAGTGTAGAACTTCAGTTGTGCTTTGTTAAGACTCAATCTCAACCCTAAATCGACCTTAATTATTGCACATAGAATAAGAGGGAAGGAAGGAGGAGAGAAGAAGCCAAGCTCCAATATTTTTGTATTTGATTTCTTTTGTTAAAACTGATCTGTTCCATTTCTAGGAGATGGGCTCCTTTTATATCTATCCTCTCAAATCCTATTTGATCACAACACTTCAATCCCACCATACAAGGAAAAAAGTGACAAATGAACTGTTCAAGAATCAAGACCTCAAAAATTTGTGAATTCATCCATAGGTGGCCAATGGTAAGGGCACAGATTCTAGCTCTTAAAATACAAAAAAAAAAAAAAAAAAGGAGGTCTTGGGTCGAGGCTTCAAGCTGATAAGTATGTTTGACTGTGGACAGGGAAAGGCTGAAATGCCTCTACAAGTCTTCTTGGCTTCCAAAATGAATAGATAACCGTAATTTACCACTAATTATCTTCTTTTCTAAAAAAAAAATTGTGAATTGATGGAATCCTCCGTCATTCGGTACACACACCTCCTCCACTTTTTTCTTTTCTTTTTAGTCGACGCACCCAATTGAAAGAATGTGACCTCCTCCTCTCTCTCTCCCCTCAAACCCCCCCCCCCTCTCTCTCAAATTCCCAAAAACAGACAAATGAAAGTAGGCTAAGTGCTATATAAGGAAAAAAGGAAAAAATTTGGAGATATCCATAATTAGATCAATTAATCTACTTTTTTTTCTTTCGAGAAAGGATCACTGAATCTACTGGAAATGCAACTGTTTTTGCAAGCCATTTTATATTAGTCTTATCAAAACTCTTTGTTCACGAATGAGGATTGTGAGGATTCTGAAAATTCTCAAATTATGTTCGTCTGACGAAAATTAATCTCACGATGTACAATAAACAGATACAATTTAAAAATTCTTAAAATTATTTTCACAATATACGATAAACGAACACAAATGATCCTCCTAGTTTGTTGACTACCTACCTACCAATATTTGTCGTATCAATCTCGACGATCCTCATAAAGAGCATCACACATCTTCAGGATCCTCGAGGATCCTCCTGGTTTGTTCACTAACTACCGACCAATATTTGTCGTATCAATCTTCATGTCAATGTTTGACTACCATAAAATCACTTCCAGCAGTACATTTTGTGTAGGGCAGACGTCACTATCATGACGTCACCGACTGTAAAGTGGATCCCCCGTTGAAGATCGTGAAAAAGGTCTGAAAGAGTAATTGCTGACACTCTGCACCGCCCGTGTTCTACGACCAGCAAGTGGTCCCCCCAACCAAGTAAATTTCCAGCTGGGGCACGAGTTTGGCTTCATTATATATAAAGCGTTGTGCCTTCCGCTGATGGCCGATGTGGGACTAAGTTGTAGTTGCGGTTTTCAATTTTTTATCTGCTGATGAACGGCTTGGGTTTGAAATGGCATGACATCAGCAGATTGAAGGAAAAGGACGACGGGTTGATTTCTTTGGTGATAGGGCTTTGAAATGTAGCCAATATGTTTTTCTCTCATGCCTTTCTTCGTTCATGATACAATATTTTGGTATCCTAGACGTACAGAAACCACACCTCAACTGCAGTAACAATGTTGTAGTGAAGGCCATGAATTTCACCGGATTGAAGGATTGAAAGATGATAGGCTGCCTGAGGTAAGTTAATTACTTCTTCTTAATATAAAGTTTGAAAAAAGAAGGTTTTTAATTCTGCTAGATAAGGCCAACAAAGCATACAAAAATAAAATAAAAATACATATATTTGTGAATAATATTTACCTTTGCCATTGCCCTCGCTATTTCCTAACAGGTAAAGTTGTATAAAGATAATTACTGTTTAGAGTGAATAGTAAGGACAACTTACATGCCCTTGACCTCCAACCCACAAAACCCACTCTAGCCATTCATAAAATAAAGGGCAAGTGGTGGGCCAACCATTGCCTGCCCCAATGCCCAGCCTTCTCAAGCCGGACGTGCTGCCTTCGAACAAGTTGACGTCATGCTAACGGCAACGCTTATTTTAAATTTTTTATGTCAGGCAAATTTTATAGCACGCTGCATGAAGAAACAACTTTTCAGAGTATTAAATTTCCACTTAACCAAAGGGAAAAACGGTTAAAATGTGACGAGAAGATTCTTACGTTTGAATTACAGTGTGGTACAATGACACGAGTGGTTGGCATTCTACACTCAAACTAAGTGGAATTTCATTGTGAAACCTGGTAAAAGAACACAAAGGTTTTTACAGTTCAAACATATTACAAGAATCCATATACTTCCACGGGCTCAGCCTAGTCATCGAATATCTGATGTCGTTCAAGTTCTGTAACTTGTTCTGTTAGGAAGCTTACAGTTTGATTTCTAGTCACATTCTTGCTCCTACACTGTACCAACTGTTGCCGAAGACTACGAACAAGCTCATTAAGTCTCTGAATGTTCTTTTCCTGCAATAATATGATCTACAACAAGCCAAACATGTTAAATTAGAACTCTTGCAAAACCTTCGAAGCCACAGAAGAACTCGGATCAATGATGAAGATTCAATTGAAAGATGGATTAGAAACAGATCATTACAGCAAAATAACAAGTCATTTTAAATCATGGTAAATGCAGATTAACATCTTTCATTCAGGCGACACTGCAACATACCAGTTTGCCCATAATAAACTACATGTGTCCAACTAATGTTCATTCATGTCATCAGATTCATGGGAAGTCACGCTGCATCTACGAAACCGATAGGCCAAAAGAATCATAACATAAATACAAAATCACCCAAGCATGAAGCTTAGTGTTTGTGTTTGGTTCCTCGTTGCATTATCCCTGCCACTACATAAGCTTGATAAGCGGATAACAGATCTATGGGGACCTATATATACATTATTCCAAGGATTCTCCTTATAATAAATAGAAAGAAAAAAAAGTTGATTAGAAACTAAGCACCGTACAGGAAACAGATATATCAATAAATTGGCTACAAAGCGTTGTCGTCTTTTTGGTCAGAAACAAAATATCTGTTCATTCTAGGCGTTTTAATTAAGCTGGGACTGTCTGTAAGCATATATTACACCTCATATCGGTTGTTTTAGTTTACTCTGATTTTTATCATAAAAAGACTTCAGCCTAATTCCTTTCTCTCTCATCTTGTTCTACTTCTCGTTCTAAGTAAGCTCCTATATTCTATCTACCTCTGTTTTTTGTCCCTCTTCTACATATCAGTACCAAATTGCTAGTAAGGTAGAGAACTAGAGATACATACATAAGAGTCACGCCAACACTCAATGGTCAAGGAACCTACACTAGTTTCCAATCCAAATGGGGAAAAAAACAAAGAACCTGATTGTACGGATGAAAACGTCCATGGTTAATTACAAAGGAGGATAGGAACACGAAAGCTAAACAAGAGAAAAGAGTGTGATATTGGAGTTCAGAAGTGGAAGAAACCTTTCAGAACAAATAAAGCACTCAATATCGAATATTTGAATGTACATACTTAGTAACTGTGTGGCTGAAAAGAAAAATAACATGACTCTTTCTTAATGATTTTGCTGCTTCCATGAGTAGACATTAGTCAATAATCCGACAGCACATACCGATGATGTTTCGATCACTTTAACCTCTCTCATACCAACAGTACATACCAAACGGAAAAAGTGTAAACAGCTTATAATTATCACTTATGCTCAGAAGAGTTGAATGCTTCTTGATTGATACAAGCCTGTTGGATTATCTTTTATTCAAGCAATCTATATACGGTCAAAATACACATGCATAGTTTTTGTGCCTCGAAAGAGAAGAAACCTGCTTGTTTCAAAGCTAATAATAGAGAAAACAGAAACACACAGGACTTAGGTGACAGCAAAGATCAAGTATTTGATCTCGCATTTTCCAAAGGGAAGTGAGAGTAGAAATAAAAGTAGTTTCTGTTGGGGCAAGGCTGAATCAGGTAGAAAATTGTCTACGGTGGCAACCTCCATATATGCATTAAACATCGTCAAATGAAATAGGATAGAAAAGGAAAACAAAGAAACAAATTCACATGCTTGTAGTTACTGGTTCCTCAAGAATAACCGAGGAAAAAACATACGATTGTGGTTTCAAGTAAAATTAGCCAGCATTCCAGCTAGGCAGCCACTGAAAAATAAAGACAAACCCGCACATAAATGTCTACCATAAGCAGCTAATCTCAGTTCAAGAAATATTTTGTGACAATCAATATCTCCATATAAGCATCAAAGAATAAGGGACACTGAAATATGGACTTACTAAAAATAAATACAAACAAAGAATTACATGAATCAGGAAAAGGCTTGTTACCTTCTCTTTCACAGCTACTTCCCTATTCGAGTTTTGATTCTGCTTTTTGGAGATGCTTGGAGTAGTGTCAAGATCAGGCACAACTTGTTGCTTCCACTCAAACTGGGAAGTGATAATGAGAATAAGAAGCAGAAAAACAAGCAGCACTGGTCTTGACATCGTCCGCAATTCTTTTATACCTGTTCAATAGTCAAACCAAGCAAAATAGGAATCAAAAACAGACTAGGCATTCATCAACTACAGGTTATATTCTACTTCTGTAGTCCAATTCGGGTTCCTAGTCTTGGAAAAGTGTTTGAGAAAGAAATCGCACCTGCGCTCCATCTTCCTAGAAGTGACATAGAAGTTTACGGAAATTCTAGTGAATTGCCTTTGACAGAATAAACTGCCGTTTGGTAGCTTTAGCAAAATTCTTTCTCGAGAATGTTTCCTTGGTCACATGTTACGCCCCGATCTTGAGATACATCCAAGATCGACACATGATGTCACCAGTTATCTATTCATTTGTCATCTCTCGCCTCTGAGACATGAACAGAACATAAATCAAGGTCCAACAGCATAGTAACTTTTCTTTTATTTTATGTTTGCATCTAACCTTCTTGTTAGACTGCCTACGTACTCAAAGACTTGATTAAGCCATTTGTAGTTCACCATTTCTCTAGCATAAAAACATAGGGTTCAAAAATTACTCAATGGAACTCAATGAGCATGATCCCTCAATTTTATAACACGTAAGTCAACCAATTAACCATATCAGAGTTTTTCCCTTCCTCTATTACGTATACTGAACTGTTTTCCAACAACAATCCCACAAACACAACCAACAATTTTTCAAAAATAAAAAATAAAAAATGCATGCTCTTAACGTTTAACTAGGTTAATCAAACCAATAAAATTTTATATCACTTCATTAAGTTTAGTAAAGCTGACCTATGTAAGGTTCGTCGTATTTCCTTACCTGAAATTCAAATCAATAGCATTGAAACTCTAAGTTTCCAACACAAGTATAAGCTTGAGCAGCTTCTATGTTCCTACATTCTAGACCAACTCAAAGGAATCCCAAATAGAATATGATTTTGGACCACTCAACGAAATCGAGAGGAAGCAAGGTATCTGGATCACTCAACGGAATCCCGAATAGAATACGATTTTGGACCACTCAATGGAATCGAGGCAAAGTAGGGTATCCAGATCACTCAACGGAATCTTGAATAGAATACAATTCCGGACCACTCAACGAAATTGAGGCGAAGTGGTGTAATCAAACCACTATTCTAAAAAGGTGGTGCTAGGCGGTTGGCACCACCGCGATTAATCCTAAGCATTGCCTAGACTCGCTTAGGTGTCCACCTAGCCTACCTAGGTGCTAGTCTAGCCCGCTTAGGCATAGGTCTAGGCTGCTTAAACCCTCCTAGGTCTCGACTCTCACTCAGATAGAAAATCGATAATTTCATTTTGCATTTTAAATTTTCAATAAAATGTAAGAGACTTGTTGAATATGTCGATGATCACCCATTATATGCTTCTTCCCCATGTTTTGAATATGTTCTAATACTTTATCATTTATATGTCATTTTATTTTGCAATTTATGTATGCGTTGGGCGCTTTAACCATTCAACCATGGATGCTTAGCAGGGATCCTCTTACATGGTGAATAACCAAATTTCAATTGAAATGAAATCTTTAGGATAAATCAATGCAATTTAGGAGGGTTCAATGCCAAGACATCAATTGAAATCTTGGATTTTCGAATTGAGAGAGATCTAGAATTCTCACCATTTCTTAGATTCATGGACCAAATTCTATTCAGGGGGATCTTTTATTCACATTTTTTCCATCAAGAAAGTTTTATAAAACTCTTGGACTCCCAAATAGAATACAATTCTGGACCACTCAATGGAATCGAGGCAAAGCGAAGTATCCAAACCACTTAATGGAATCCCGAATGGAATATGTATGATTCCCCAATGTGGATTAACTAGGCGGAACCATAGGCATCCATCCAATAACGTGGTCTCCAAATACGGAGTAACCAAGCAGGACGACCTATGGATCTAAAGAGACTAAGTAGGCAGTGAACCCCTTATGTGGTTTAAGGGGGTAGCGTGGTCCCCCAATTTCGTTGTTCATATAGAGAATCATCACGTTATGATAGTGCTTCAGTTACCTCTTCGGATTTTCGTCTCCCTTGAAAAAGTCAAATGTGGCAAGCTAAATTTGTGGCTTCATCTGCTCGATCTCGTTCTTGAACAGTGACCTACTCATGTTAGCCATGTCTCTCTGAAGTGCCTCACTAGTCTCTCTGTGCATCCGCTCATATACGCAAGGCCAAGATGGCTTTGACGAGAGTTGAGCTTTCGCCTTTCTAGGCCGTGATCGACCTGAACTAAAAATGGGGCAAACTAATGAGGTTATAAAGAGTGAAATTTGAATCCATAAAATTGCAGAATAAAAATTGCAATGTAGTGTCGGATATGAGCTTTAAGGATACTGGAATTCAGTTCTACGTTTTAGTCAGATTATTAAGGGCAGAAACGTCATTTTCAATCATTTATAACGACTTGAAACTCATATGGAATTCCACATTGACCTATACCTAAATAATAAATAAAGCCCTTTAACCTAACTCAAAAACCAAAATTAATTCCTAATCAATATATTCTTAATTAATAAGTATTTGATCTTAACCTAAGTTCTTTAATTTAGAAACCCTATCGACCCATATACCCACCATTTTAAAAAAACTTTAAAGAGACTTCCATTAAGATAGCTCTAATCTATTTAACCCTTTGCAACTAACCTGAACTCTTGATGACCAGCTGTTCATTACCCAAAAAACAATTCGAAGGAAAAGTAGGTGTGAAGGTTGTGTGCGTACGTACTCTGTAGTTATTTCCTTCAGTTCTTTATGATACAATTATGTCAGGAACTTTGTAAGATCTTTTTAATGGTTGAGAGACAAACAAATAAACATAATAAACCCAGATATATGAATGTATGCTCACGGACCCTCAGTTGTCAGTTCTTCTGGTTTACCCTAAATTTTGAAAAAGCGAAGAAAAATATATGTCCTTTCCATTTATGGGTTATAGCTAGTGGTAGCTGCTGTCAAAATTTTCGTTCAATCATAGCTAGTTGTAGTTGCTGCAAAGTTTTCTATGTATGTGTTATTGTAGACATGTAAATTTCGTTGAATACAAAAGGTGTATGTGTAAAACATTCCTAAAATTTGGCAAAAATCAAGCAAAGGAATACAAAAGGTGTATGTGTTATTGTAGACATGTAAATTGCGTTGAATACAAAAGGCATATGACTCATCACAAACGGACAAGTCATCAATGACATGTGGCACAAATCAAGCAAAGGAAGTGTAAAACATTCCTAAAATTCGGCAAAAGGGAGAAAATCCCCCTTAAAATCGGCAAGGGGCCCAAAATCTCTCAAAACCGGAAAGAAAGCCAAAGCATCTTCACAAAATAAGCAAGAATTGAAGATTGCTCACAAATAGGCAACAAGGCATATAAATTTCGGCCAATATGAGGAAGGTGGCTGAAATTAAGACACAAAACATGCCTAAATTCTCCCATGGACAAATCTAGACACAAATCAAAGCCAAATCCATCCAAAGGCATGGCTTTGGAAGTTTATAAATACAAGGATCCAAGATACACAAAGGGGTCGAAAATTGCACATTGAGAAGAACCTCTGCACAAATCTTTGAAGACTAATACACTGCCAAAGCTCTCTTCAAAGAACGTACAACCAAAGCCGAAGCACTCCCCTTGAAGAATCAACAAGCACTCGTGCCGACTCCTTCAAGATTTTGTTGCAAGCTCAAAACTTGTAACGACGTTCATTTCAAGATCAAGTCGCCAAGACCTTTGAATCAATGAAATCCTGCATCAACATCACCCTTTGCCGCAACTTTGAGGTGAAGATCATCCAAGCATCGTTTCAAGCCCAAAACTTGAAGCAATCGTTCAATTGTTCTTCCGAGATCAAGTCATCACAACCTTTGGATCAACAACCTACGCATCTATGTCAAATTTGGAGACTGAATCAGAGGAAAATTGTAAACAGAGATAGTAACCTACAAATTCAAATCAATACAAAATCTACTTTGTACACGTGTTCTCATTTCATTCGTTACAGAATTTTCAGGTTTACAGTTATAGCTAGTGGTAGTTGTTGTATAATTTTCCATTTATGGGTTATAGCTAATGGTAGTTGCTTTCGTTTCCAAGTTGTATTCGGGTGTTTTTGGGAGGATTCCCATCCCTTCCTTTTACCCTGCCCTCCGTCCCCTCCTCTCACAGTTTTTTTTTTCTTTTTCTTCCTTCTCTCTCTACTTCTTTTTTTCTTTCGCTCTCTACAAAGATGAAATCTTGAGCGTTCAAACAGGAGAGGAGAAAATCCTTGTCCTTTGGAAGTGCTTTACACAGTGAGCTTCAATCGAGGATTCTTCAAATCAATAGCGCTCACTTCACATTATTAGACATCAATTTTTTTGCACTCATTTTGTGTGTTGTTTGTATCTAGACCTGGCATTTTCTTACATGACCCGTTATCACGACACGTAAACGACACGAAAATAATGGGTTTCGGGTCAAACGATAAGAACTCGTTAATAACGGGTCCTTAACATGATTACACGAAAGTGACACGCGGGTAAACCTGTTTCAACACGATAAGAAAAAAGTTATTTTGATGATTTTAATTTTTTAAACTACTAAAAAAGCTTACTATAAAATAAATAGATATAATGGATATGTATATATTGTTTATTAATTATTATTGTATTATTATTCTATACAAATTTTTAAATTTAAGTATTATTTATTTATTTATTTTTATAATATACTATAGGCAAAAATTGAGATTAAAAAATTATAAATCACATTAAAAATAAAAATATCAAGTAATTTAAAAATACCAATCACATTAAAAAAAATTATAATAATTAATTTACAAGTGCGAGAAAAATGTGAAAAAATAGGCAAACGCTCATAATCGCATCCTCTACGCTTTGAGGATGGGTATATGATCGTTTGAGTTTTTAAAACAATACAAACCCTCATGAATAGTATTTTTAAGGGGGCTCAAAATAAACAAAATTCATAATCATTAATGTATAAGTCTGAAAGATGCGAAAGCATATTTAAACGCTCGTAATTGCATCATCTATGCTTAGACGAT